GTGCAAACCATTTATACTCATCAAAAATGTAGATCAGTCCGAAATTTTAAATGACGATCTTCACGTGTCCTTATTTATATAATTAAATTTTATTGGCTAATGTACACGTGCCTTTAGTCACATGATTTAACGTTATTGGTTAATATGACTCGTAACGTACTCACCTTTCAAAGGAGACACACAAACTTGACATTGCCGAAATTTTCTGTGCAATTTTTAAAGTTTATTCACGGCAAAAAAAGGCATGGATTCTAAGCACTGTTCATGATATTTTATCGAATTTTGTTTAGCACAAAAACAAATATTACAAAGTTTGGGTATTATCTAATTTGTCTAACTCTTCAAGAATGCTATCCGGAATTCTCCTGTGAGATTTATACTTTTTTACGGCATATTCTACTAATTTTCCACTAAGACCTTTCCTATAAAGATCCATATAACGCCAGCACTTTCTTGAAAACCTCCTAATAGTTATCAAAGATACTGATTCGAGACTTTCAGGTACTGTTCTTTGTAATCCCTCCCACGAATAATCACATTTGTCACGCGAGTATCTTTTGGCGGCCCCCCAGTATCTCTCGATGAAATTTAACTCGCAGTGAAATTTTGGGAAGAAGATGCATTTATGTCCTGCATTCTCGATTAATTCTTCAATTGCACTTTTTTGAGCAAGAAAATCAGGCTCCAGAGACATTACTCGACGTGCACAACAAGAAACTCTTGAAGCGTCTTTGATCTTTTCTCTGCATTTTTTGCATTCTAATACTAATCCTTTCGATGGCCATTTTCCTCGTTCTATTAACACTTGCTTAATTCCTTTAGGAATGCCTCGAAGTTTCTCATCCGGATATGTTTCTGGGAAGACCATCGATTGTAACTGATTTGGTCCAAAAGAAGTATCACGCATGAATGGTTGCTTTCCACCTGGACTTAGATTCATCCTGCTTGCAATTAAAGCACCTTTGCTAAATGCAGCGTGATTAGAACTGTTATCGAAAGCAAATACAGCCACACAATCCGGATACAATGTCTCAAAAATCGGAATCGCTTTACATTTAATTTGCTCAAGAAGATGTTCTGCTGTCCAATAACCGTCTTGATTTATACCGGGTCTTAAATAACATCGTGCTGCTTCTGGTATATCGGGATATTTTTCTATATCATCTTGCTGTAAGCGCAGACGTCCATCGATTTCAGTTAGAAATTCACTAACCATAATTGACCTTCCGTTTCCTTTTTTTCTTAGTGGCAAATTTCCATTCTCAGTCCACACGCCGCGTTTGCCATCATTCGAATAAAAAACACATTCATCGTGGACTACAAGGACTCTCTCTTTCTCTCCTTCAGGTAAGCTGGGGCGTATCCGATCCATAAATTCGCCTTCGTATTTTGACATGTACTCCTCATGCTCATATATTTTTTCTAAAAATTCTTTTCGATATTGTAAGACGTCATTTCTTTCATGCCCATCGTAATATATGCCTTGACGATGTTGTCGAAACGAATAACCAAGAATCTTGAGCCATCTTACTGCAGTCGTGAGGCCAATAGTTTTTTCCTTCATTATTCCAATATTAGGAAACAATTCATGCTCGACGAATTTTTTAAATGTGGCCGGCGTGGCACTGAAATTTTGGTTTCTAATCCAAACATGACATCTCTCTGCAATGTCTTCATCATCGACTATCCTAATCGTTTTTTGGTGTTTTCCATGTTTAGATGTTGGAAGCTTATCATTAAGCAACCAATACTTTGCAAGATACCGAATTCTTCGCGCTTTCCACACACCACCGCCAATAAAAACCTTTTGGGCAACCTTCAAACTGGCATTAATTCTTCCGTGTCCATTATTATCATTTAACAAGGTAAGATATTCAAAAATGGCTCTTTTATGATTATACTCGAAGACGGTTAATTGAGCATGTTGTTTTTCTAAATGCTCTTTTAACTCTTGTCCTCTTTTTATTCGACAAGCATACAGATCAATAACTTCACTTTCTGAATCGCTTGAAGTTTCGTTAGGCTCGGGCGATTGTAAGTCTATAGCTTGAGCATCGCTTGAAATTTCGTTAGGCTTGGGTGATTGTAAATCTGTAGCTTGAGTATCGCTAATATTAAAGAAAGTGGTAATTTTTTTAGTTCCGGCTGCTGCTTTAGTGAATAAGCCATTCGGCCCATATTTATCGTAATAGGTTGACTTCGGTATCTTGCTTGTCATGTATGGGCCTCGCTTCTTTTTTTCTAAATGATTGTCATTTTTCCATACTAAACTGAGTTCTTTTAATTTTGTATTTATTCTAATTGCGGTTTCCATATCCTCTGCATCATCCCATCCACTATCATCATCGTCGCCCCACTCTCTATCACTAACATCTAGTCCGTTAAATTCGTTTACTTCAATATCATGATCGGCTATTGAAGTGGTGTGATGTATTTTTTTATACAGTCCTGTCGCATTTCTAGCTTGATCTTTAGCTTTTCTTTTTCCTTTAGAATGAAGGGGCATTTTTTTATTTTTACGCGACGCGATCTTAACCTAGCGTGTAATTGGTGCTTAGACAGCATTATAGGATTCGAACTGTGTAATGTCGTACAACAAAATTGTATCACGATAGTTCGTTGGGGGATTTTTATGCATTTTAGGTAAGAATTATTTGCCTTTGCCTCTAATTAATCCTTCGGTCTAATATGCATATACATCTCATCCTCTTAACGGTTCATTTATGGAACGGAGCACAGAAAGAAATGGCAAGATTCGAATATCTTGCCATTGAGGAGTTATCAGAGATCAAAAGTAAGTAGATTTTATTTATTAAATATCCTAATTTTTTATTATTTATTATTATCATCATCATGATGATGGATAATAATAATAATAATAATAATAATAATAATAATAATAATAATAATCTCAATAATTTTTTTTTGCTTAAAATAAATTTTATTTATTATAATAATAATTATCCCTTAATAATTTTTTTGCTTAAAATTTATTTAAATTAGATATGAGCGGATCAATCTGCAAACGAAAGGACCTAAAGCTAAGTATAAAAAGCCTTAATATTCTTATTACATTATGCATAGAATACATCTCCCTTACTCAAATAACTCCACACTTTTTTCTTCAGAATAATACACTGCGATGAGGAGGTTATTCGGTCTGGGAAATCGCACCTTCGGAACAGGTGGGCTTGGCTTCGGCCCGATGGATCTATAAGAACAAAGAAACCGGAAGCTTCGACGAGAAGTTAAAACCCTTTTGTCCCCACATTTTTTCGGATCGTATGAACGATATGTCACACGATTGTTAATTGCCGAATACACCACTGCCGTCGGAATTAAATAGACCTAAAATAACAAGAACCAATATGTCAGTAATGTACGGTATACAGGAAGGTGACTAAAATATTAAAACTTTTTTAAGCGTTATTACCAAAAACCCTCTCACTAAAAGTGTCGAATTGCTTGTGCGAGAAAACATTGAGATGACAGTTAACGATTGGAAATTAGTAACTTCAATTATTGGGTCAAGCGTAGTTTTTTTGGGTGATGGGCCAGGCGAACTTCAATTATTGGGTTCAAGCGTAGGTATTGCGGGTGATGGGTGAAGCTAGATGAACTTCAATTATTGGGGTATTGCTGGGTGATGGGTGAAGCCAGACGAACTTCAATTATTGGGTCAAGCGTAGGTATTGTTGGGTGATGGGTGAAGTCAGATGAATTGCCGAATAGTTACTTTTGGTTCCAATAACGAGATATGTAAAATTTTGTGTTCCATTTCGGAGTCAGCTAAAGTTGGGATATTCGGGCGACGATTAACCGATACAAACCGATTAAATTGTGAACAGGGATTAAAATAGGAGTCGTGCGTCAAAAAATTTTAAAAAAAAGAAACCCGAAAGAGAAAAGTGCAAGAAACGGGTACCTAAAGATACCTTAAAAAATGTCGAACGATGCCTGAGAATTTATCGTTATTAGGAAAGCAATCACTTAAAGATTTGATTGAAAAGCCATTCCGAGAATGATGAGTTCGTCACGCTTTGACGATTCGTGATCACGTTATCATGTGGTAACGTGACTTTAACGATTGCTGATTGGTCAAAACCCGACTGATCGGCGTCCGAAAATTAAAGAATAATAATAAAAGTGGTTGATTTTATACCTTAATAACTTTATATAATATAATATAATTTAAAAAACTAAACCGTAAATCTGAAAGAGAAGAACTTAATCTATCATATTTACGGTTTAGTTTTTTAATATTACCAAAATTGGAAGATTAGATACAATTTGAAATTATACAAATTATATAAAAATTGTTTGATGATTATAGATGGCATGAACCATA